CTCAGCTTTTTTTCTGAGTTACCCTAGAAAGGACATCCCGTTCCTGCCTCGCATACAGAAACTTGTCTCTCGCCGTTACTTATGTGGGAATTGGAAGAGCAGCAGCGTTAACTTGGTGTCTGCCCCCGGCTCCATTAGGAGTGACACGGGGACCTATAGGAAATCGTTGCTGCCGAGCACCACTGCTCAGGCTCGGGCCGGGTTCACGGAGCCGGCAGTGGCCGCGTGGCCGCTCCGTGCAGCCCTGCTGCTGGCCCCAGGAGGGCTCCGTGCAGCGTAACGACCCGTTAGCCGTGCGCCTGCTGCATCCGGAGCCCCGCGGAGCCGGATAACCAAACACAGAGCCGGATAACCAAACACGGAGCCTGTAACCAGCCGGGGACCGGCTACATGGGCTGGGGTGGGTTTGCAAATCACCGCAACCGGGTCTGGTCACCCTGGCCCTTACCCACACGCCGGCATTTGAGACTGGCATCAGCCCCCATGTCCAGTGGGGGACGAGTTACCAGCTTTGCTTGCAGGATCCCAAAGCTGGGTGTTCATCTGGGGCCGTTCTGTTCCGTTTGCCTCTTGAGTTGTTTCTTTTTATCAGCGCTCAGATTCCCCTGCTTGCAAATTCTGCATTCAAGAGTCTCTTTCCCAGGAAAGCCGTTTCCCAGGCTGTCCGAGGTGCGGGCCAAGCCTCCCCCTCGGTGTTTTCAGGGCTCTGCATAGCAGCAAAGGGCTCCAGAGGTGATTCCTCTGCTGCACAGCCATTCCCCCCGTGCCCTGTTGCTCCCTCCTTTAGAGCAGTGCAGTAATTCCGTTAAGTATAAAGTAATTCCGAGCCCACGGGCGGCACAAACCCATTCATTCATGGAAGCGCGGAGCACACGGATTCGGCAGGGAGATGGGATTCGGGCCGTGCACGTCCTGCGGAGCCGTTTCCCTTCCCCTCTGGCTGCGGTGTCCGACGTTCCAGCTTTTCAACTTGGCTTAAGATTTTTACAAGGGCTGTAAATGAAGGATTTATAAGTGTATACATGGCTATGATGTTTCATTGGTCTGAAGTGCAGGGAAAAGAAAGAAACGTCTCGGTGACAGAATACAGTGTGGGGTGAAGTGGGTCAGTGGAAACACATGGAAATGTTATGAAAAACAGGGAAGAGTCTGGTCCTGTGCTGTTTTCTGCTCCGTCTGTGCACATTCCCACACACATGCACAAGCTTCCCCACAAAGATGGTTTCCCTGCCCAGCGTTAGATGTGCAGGACGTGCTCTTTATGGAGCTCGTTGCTCCTAAAAGGGAATCACAGAAATGAATAATCCTCTTTGCCGCTTCAAGTCTCTATTTACATTTTTTTTCTGACTTGATCTTCGTTGGGACTAAGAGGGTTTGAGCTCTGCGGGGGAAGTCAGAGGGGGATGAGCACGTGGATCCACAGTCTCCATCCCGATCCCTCCAGCCGTCTCCATTCACGGAGCTGCTGAGCTCCCGGATCTGGTGCCATGGGGCACCTCGGCCTGTCAGGTTAAATACCTGCAGTGAGAGCTCTCTATCCCTAGGAATCCTGTTTCAGGAGAAGCAAGCCCAGCTGTCGCTCCAGTGCCTGAGCTGACTTTGCATTGACTGAGCACATCGGATTTGTCTGATCTCTTTTTGCTCTCCCTTGGCAGGTGGTGATGGCTCCGCATGAACCCCCAGTCGTGTTTGTGGACAATTACATCAAGCTCCTTGCCGACTGCAGCACCGACACTTTCCAAAAGATACTAGACATGAAGGTCAGAACCAGTCTTACAAAAATTCTGCTCTTCTACTAGAGTTGCGCTGAAGTCGTTGGTGACTTTTTGGTAGGAACACAGAGGGATTTGGAGCAGGGGAAACGCTCTGTATGCCGAGGGCATCCTCTGTCCTCTGAACACGTCAGGTTTCTGCTGAAGGAAGCGCCTTGATTCGCTCTGTGCTTGTGGCTATGCCGTCTCCCGTGGCTGGGTCTAGTTGTACCTATTGACACACGGCACTTGGAGGAGGAACAGAGGGCTGAGGTTTGGTATCAGTGAGGTCTAACCTGCTGCTTTCATGGTCTCTCCTTGCAGGGCCTCAAGAGGAGCGAGCAGAGCAGCATGTTGGACCTGTTCCGCCTGCGCCTCCCGGCTCCCCCCTCCGGCGCGGAGAACCCCGGCTCGCTCTCGCTGAGCGCCCCGACGCCGGAGCAGGAGTCCTCTCGGATACGGAAACTGGAGAAACTCATCAAGAAAAGGCTCTAAGTGAGCACAGAAGGAAAAATTGTTGCTCAGGACTAGCTGCGGTCACTGGGAGCAAAGCTCTTCAGACTTCTTATTTACACTAAGCTGCTGAAAACATCAGTGTCTGGTCACTCTTACGCCTTGTAACCATCGGAGACTGTGGCACTGCGTCTCCCCCCGCGCCAAGGGAGAACCTGCCCAAGGTCCTTGCCCTGTAGATAGCTTAGCGTGAGTGAAACTGAGCACGCTGCCGGGGCCATGTGATGGAGAAAATGAAGGTGCCTGGAAGCCATCGGCTCCGAGTGCCCCTTACGTGGGTTATCCGGTCAGAGGATCTGCCTGGGAGACACTCGGTGTCCTCTCAGCCCGGCTGAGCATTCCCGCTGCAGCGCTAGGGATGTAGTCGGAGAATTCGGTGGTTTTCCCCACTCCCTGTTGCAGAGCTTTTCCTCTATTTCATTATTTATTAAAAAACAGCAGCTGGAACCCGGGCATGTGCAGCTCCCTGGAGTCATTAGAGAGGCCCAGGGGAGAAGCCTGAAGCAGGTTTCTCCCCGGAGCGACGTGCAGGCGGGAAGCAGCGCTGGGACAGCAGGGCAGATCCCTGGCCGAGCGCGAGCCGGGGCTGGATTCGTCCCTGTGCATCCCGGCGCGGCGCCCGGCAGCCTCCGTGGCTGGGCAGACACCACGAGCTCTCCCCAGTCCGCCTGTTACTTCTCCCGCTGGATCTCCCGCTGCTGCTGACGGGAGTTTCCTGCTCATCCGGCAGGTCCCAACCCAGCTGCGTCCCGGGGCCCCCTCGCTGCCCTGCTGGGACAGACGCTGTGGATTTGGTTTCAATGAGGAGCCCCTGGCTGCCAGGTCTGTTCCCGGCACAGACGTTTACAGCAGCCTGGGACAACAAGGATCTTCCTTCTCCTCGGTCCCCTCCTCCCAGCATCAGCCTGAACCAGTGCAGAGAAGAGGTGAAATGTTTCGGATAACCTGGACCACCCTTCCGCTCCCGCTGGTATCCGGCTACGTATTCAGCATGGAGCAGGGCTGGGGCTGCTGATCAGAGCTCTCCTGAACCCACCTTTGCCTGGGCTTCCTGGAGGAGCCTCAAACAGGGAAGTGTCACCTTGGAAGCGCCGCTGGGTTTCCCCCCAGCTCCTCTGTGTCTCCTTGTACCTGTTCTGGCCCACGGCCGAGGCCGCGTCCACCCGCACAAGGAGGCGCCCGGGCTGCCACGGCCCTTCCTCACCAGCCAGGTAGGAGGGCAGGTTCCGTGACTTGCAAAATCCTTTTTCCTGGGTAAAATCTCTTGTTCTTTTTGCAGGGCTGGTAAGTGAGCCCGCTCCTACCCAGCCAGAGCCGCGCACAGAAGCAGCAAATCAGCAGAGATGAAATCCTCGATGCTCAGTGTTCCTAATGCTGCTGGCAGCAGTCTGCCCCGCAGCGAGGTGCACACTGAGGTGTCCGTTAACGCCGTCCGTTTAGGAAATCCCATCGTGGGTCCCCAGGACCAGGCGGTGCCGCCGGCAGAGCCGTGACGCCCATCGGGACCGCAGAGCTCGGAGCAGCCGGGACTCGCCGCAGGATGGTGAGGAGGGGGCGGCAGTTCCTCGTTACCTGTTTTTTAGTAACGTTCTTGAAATCCATGAAGTTTCTCCTTCCTACCCTGATTTCATGGGAAGCAACATTCACACTCAGGAGGCAGCAAGGGAGCGGAGAGGCCGTTTGGCAGCACGGCAGGTTCCTGAGCAGCTTTTCCCAAAGGACACGTTACGTTACGGTGCGTGTGCAGAATGGTTTCTGCGTTATCAAATGCAGTAGCCGGGACAGAAGGAACACAGGCTTGGCAGGATTCACTATTCCCAGGGTGGATAAATAATTTAGATTAATTTTTCTTTGCGATGTCCGTGGACGACTCGCTAAATAAACCGCAAATAGCTGACGACCACATCCAAGCTGTCGTTGCATGTCTTCCCCAGAAGACTTCTCCCGTTTCATTTTCTGCATTTAATTCTGAAGAGACAAGGAAAAATGGGTTCCACGTTCAGCCTTCGGAGCAGCATCGTGGGCCTGGGCGTTTCTAAAAGAAAAAAAAAAAACAGTTTTTTTAGAGGGCAAGTTTACATTTTTCCACTTTCACTTTAAAAGCTTTTGTCCCCCTGGCTCCTGGGTACTTATGGGGCAGGCACTTGTGTATGTGTAAATGTTAGCGGATGTGGGTTGTGTCTGCGGGGACAAACAAGGGTGTTTTTCCTGTAAAAAGCCACTTTTTATGTTTTCTGACAGAGGAATATTTCTGCCTGTATGGAGTGTCACACTGATGTCAATTAAATGGGTGCCGGTGTCCGTCTTTTGGGTGTTTTTTGTGGCACTGCCAGGGTGCAGCCGTGGGCAGGGGTGACGGGGCAGGTCAGGGGCTGGCATTGGCGGCAGTGCCCGCCTCGTGCCAGGAGCTCCCCAGCGTTTGGAAATGTTTTTCCAGTTTTACCAAATAACAGGGAATCCTCCGCATTCGCCTTCCGCCTGCCCTGCTCCGGGCTCCCTTGTTGGGCTGCCGGGGGAAAGTCCTTTCCCGGCGGATCTGATAAGGATGGAGCCGGCTCCAAAGCAAACAACCCGCCCAAGCAAGGGCAGGGCAGGGATTTCAGAAGCAGCCGGTGACGGTGACGCGCAGGGACGGGGGCGCCCGCGGGGACCGGGGACATTCCCAACACGAGCGTGTCGGGGCTCAGCCGGGGACAGGGGCACCTCCCGTGGCAGGGCCGCCCGTGCCTTGCCCGTATGCGCGTACGTATATTTATTTATCACGCTAATCCTGACACTGGCGGAAATCTGTTTGTTTTTGCGCAGGAGCTTGGCGGCGGCTCTGCCTTTGGCAGCCCGCGGAGGCGTCTCGTTCCCAAAAGGGGCTTTTTCGGTTGGTTTCCAAGGCCTTCCCGTTCTTCGCAGGGACCCACTTCTCTCTCTTGGCTCTTGTTTAACCAAAAGCAGCCCAGCACCTGCCCAGCACTTTCCTCCTTCAGCCCCCAAAGTTTTCAATGAGAACTGTTAATGCTCTGTGTTCTTCTTGTTATTATTTTATTTCCTTCTGCATTTCGCAGCAAAGACAAACAACCTCCTAGTGTTTCTTCCCAGGAATGTGAAGTCCTTGAGGAAGCACCCGGCCTTCCCAGCGGCAGCCGCAGACGCCTCCTGCTTTTAATTTGGGGGCAGTGCAGGAATTCGGAGCAGGGCTCCGGGCTCGCGGGGCTGGTTCCCTCCACAGGAGTCTCCCGGCTGCGTCCCATGACAAGGCACGATCCTTTCATCAGGATTTTCCAAAAAAACGCCCCATTTCCCTGCCTGGGACGAGTGTCCAGCACGACCACCGCATGCTGCAAAATGCGGGAACTGCTGTGGAGCGGTTATAGCAGTTATAACATTAAATTTAAGTGTGCGTGGATGCGTTTTCCCTGCTTATGGCAACACAAACAAAGCTGGGGAGTCCCAGGGCCAGGTCGGTGCAGACGCTGCTGCTCAAGGCTGCCATTCACCCTGACCTTTTTCCACTGGCCTTTTTCTTGGTGTTTTTTTTTCCTCCTTGCTTTTTCTTTGCTTTTTTCCTTGCTTTTCTTTTTCTCCTTGCTCTTTTCCCTGCGTTTCCCCCTTTACTTTTCGCTCCTACCGAGGAGTTTGGCTGGGGGGTCCAAGGCGGGTCCGGGGGGCGGGGCAAGGCGGGATGT